TTTTCTGCCTGATTCAGCTGCTTTATAATTTTGAGTGCCGAGTTCTGCAGAGCTGTGCTGTCTACCTGGATTCCCCAGTGACCAGGATGTACTTAGGAAAGCACACAGGTCGGTCAAATGTTGCTGCAAATCTTAGGGACTGGAACAGGAGTAGGCCAGCATTTGGGATGGAATGATGATGGTAGTGATGATAACATTAGAAATAACTATGATGATACATAAGAAAAGACACTACCATAAACCCAACAGTGTCAGATACAAAAATCTTCATCCCTTACACTATAAATTGCTGCCTTTTAGGCTGTCAGTGTAAGATAAGAGAATAATGACAGCTGCTTTTGAACTTGAGAAATCTGGGCCTGCTAAAAGCTACAGTTACCCTTTTCTAACCTTACCAATCCTCCTTGCGTTCTCAGAAATAATTGCTAGTGGTTCCCTTTTAACTTAGCCGATTCCTTAGATACCTTACATTTTAAATCATCTTTTTGTGTGGAGCAAATGCCCCACTTCTTGTTTCAGAATGTGTGATCTTTGCTCTAATTATTTGAGAGTGCCTGTTATTTCACCTGATTCTGGTTGTTTGTGTGATACTAAACAGCCCTGGGGTTAAAGCTGACTCAGATCAAAGATCAACTCTGCCTCTCAGGACCTCAGTTTCCTTCCTTAAAAAAGGAAGAGATTGCATTAAGGTCATTTAGTCACATGACAAGAGTACATGATAGATAGTACAGTGAACTGTTTGCTGAAAGCAATAAATAGGGCTCAGCAAGGTCCCTTCTAGCTTTCTGGTTCAGCAGAGCCAAAACATCAAGAGAAGTAAAAATTTTATTCAGGAGATAGGGATTAGCAACAGTAAGGGGAAAAAATGCTCTAAGCAGGTGAGGTAGCACCAAACGAAACCATAAGAGAAATGTCTTAGGCCCTGAGAGATGTTCTGCAAGGAGAGTACAGAATTGTTAGGGAAGCAGAATAGAGGACCCCTGATAAATATTATTGTAGAATGGCTTTTATCATGGAACTAGAGGCTTGGTGCATGAAATTCATGCACTTGGGGTGGGTGTCATCCCTCAGACCAGCCTGCGCCCTTTTGAAGACCAGGAGCCCCTGGAGGATGTCCGACTCATAGGGATCGGGTCTAAGCCAGCAGTCGGACATCCTTAGTGCTGCTGTGGAGGCAGGAGAGGTTCCCACCACCACCGCTGCACTCCTCAGCTATGAGCCTGGCTCAGAGCTTCTGGCTGAGTGGTGCTCCCCCTGTGGGAGCGCACTAACCAACAGGGGGCAGCTCCTGCGTTGATCATCTGCCCACTGGTGTCAGTGCACGTCATAGCTACCAGTCATTCACCATTTGGTCGATTTACATATTGGCCTTTTATTATATAGGACTAGAGGCCCGGTGCATGAAATTTTTTGCTCTGAGGGAAGGGAGGAGGTGTGTGGTGGTGATGGTGGTGGTTCCTTCAGCTCAGCCTGCATCCTCTCCAATCTGGGATCCCTCTCACAATCAGGGACTGCTGATTCCCAACTGCTTGCCTGCCTGTCAGCCTGATCACCCCCTAATCACTCCTTTGCCAGCCTGATCGACGCCTAACTGCTCCCCTGCTGGCCTGATTGTCCCCAACTGCCCTCCTTTGCGGGCCCAGTCACTCCCAACTGCCTTCCCCTGCCAGCCTGGTTGCCACTAACTGCCCTCCCCTACTGGCCTGGTCACCCCCAACTGCCCTTCCCTGTCTGACATCTTGTAGCAGCCATCTTTGACCACATGGGGGCAGCCATCTTGTGTGAGGTTGGGAGGGTCAATTTGCATATTACCCCCTTATTATATAGAATATTGGAATACAGAAATCTAGCAGAGGTGGATTTCTGCTCCAGGTTGTCCAGTTGTAGATAATATATATAGAATGTCCATTCTTCCTTTGCATTGCTGCTCACTTTTCCTCATTAGTCCATCCTACTTGTCACTTTGTTTTTATTTCAGAAGCTTCTCCCTCAAGTAGTTGTAAGTTCCTTTGCTCATTTTCTGGCAGCCTGTACTCCACACTTCTTCTTGGAGACCCACTCTAGCCAGCCCAGTGTCCATAATCAAAATGGCACCTGCTTATCAGATACCTTTTCAGTGCCTCTTGCCTGCGCACATACATTATTTTTAGCGTGTGTACCAAGTGTTCTCTTTTGGACTGGGTTCATGGTTCTCCCTCAGTCTGTACTTCTTTACCTTTTCCCTCTTGCCTGTTGAAATTCTACCTAACTTACCTTTACCTGTTCCATCCCTTTCCCTTTCCTTGCCACTCACTCGGATCGATCTGTTTTTCCTCTCCTCCTCTTTCTTTCCCTCTTCTTGTCTCATGTGGATTGAGTCTCTTAAGAGTTTTGTTCTTTGATCATTTCAGTGTGAGGTCAATTTTATTACAAACTCCCTGTGGCCAAGGATCTTGTTTTATTTCACTTGGCTTCCACATAGCACCTAGCAATGTGCTGAGTTAATAGTAGGCAGTTGGCCCATAAATTATTGGTTGACTCAGGAGAAAATAAGTACAGTGAATGGGGGAATGGCAGGTCCAGTTTCTGAGGCACAGAAGAGTCTCTTACTCTCCGTAGTGGCAGTGAGGGCCTTTGTCTGTGTGCTTTGCTAAGAACATTGCCAGCAGTTGTGGATTTCAGAACATCTATTTTATTAAACTAAGCAGTACATATCAAAACTGTAAGTTTTTATATTCCTATGTGTTCATTAAAGGGATTCTATAGCTTCTACCAACTATGACTCCGTTGCTACTTTTGTGTTTTGTGTTTTTTTCTCCTGTGACTGTTGTTTCTTTATAACTTAAAGAATCTTCAAATTTCCAATTCGTTTTTGGAAGTAGACAGAATAAAACTGTAAATGAATAGATAGATAGACAGATAAAAAATATATATGTGCTTTCTTTAGAAAGCTGGCCTCGTTTTCACTTTATGTTGAAGTCCCATTTGTGTTTCAGGTCATTATGCAGCACTTGGTTCAACCAATTAAGTTTTTTCAATGTATATTTATTCTATATCAGTATGGTCTTTTCTTGAGGCTTTAATATCGTTCTTTGAGGAACATTCATCATTCTGGTGCTCTTTTGTTGCTTAAATGTTTCCCCCTAGGACCTTTGACAATTTTCCCAAGACTAGCAATTTCAGGAAGTGCTTAATAACATGATTTAGGTTGCCTCTATATGAGAATCTACAGGATTCCCTTAGAGATTTCCAACATGCAGTGTTTACACACTATAGTTTCTTAACTCTGCAAAGCACACTTTTGTGACATTCTAGCTATGCTATCTTCTCTCTCCTCTTTTTAACATCTTTGCAAAGGGAGGTTGGGGTAAACTCACTAAAATGTAAGTCAGAGGCTTTTTTAGTTGTGAGATCAGGAAAGTATAACTTAGCCTCTATAGTATATTTCCGCAGCCCCCAAATTACTAGTGTTTTCCTCAGTAACAGTAGTACATACCTGAAAGTGGTCTACAAAGATTATATACAATAGTTTAATTGTTTATTTACAGATAGATACTTCAGCTGTCATGTCAGATAGCTAGCTTCAAGTTTGGCTCCGTGGATAGAGCATCAGCCTGAGAACTGAAAGGTCCCAGGTTTGATTCCAGTCAAGGGCACATGCCGGGGTTGTGGGCTCGATCCCCAGTGGGGGACTTGTAGGAGGCAGCTGATACATGATTCTCTCTCTCTTCCTTCCTCTCTGAAATCAATAAAAATATATTTTTAAAAAACCCATATAATGAGAATTATTCACATCTTCTCTTAGTAATAATAATAACAGCTAACACATGTAGTATTTATCATGTGCTAAACACTGTTTTACGAGTAAATATACTCACACTTTATTCTTTTAAAAGCAACATATAACTGGGTGCATTCCCCCCCATTTTTAACAGAGAATCTCTTGGCCTTTTACTTTTTTTTGTTTTTATTTATTTATTTATTTATTTATTTATTTGGGAGAGAGAGAGAGAGAGAGAGAGAGAGAGAGAGAGAGAGAGAGAGACATCAATTGGTTGCTTCCCGCATGTGCCCTGACCAGGAATCAAATCCAGTATCTTTTGGTGCATGGGATGACACTCCAACCAACTGAGCTAGGCCAGCCAGGGCTCTCTCTGCCTTTTAACAAGAAAGTTTAATCTGCCTTTTTAAAAATCGTAATTACTAATGCATTTGGAATTATTTCTACCATCTTAAATTGTTTTTTTATTTAAAACACTTTCTTTGCCTTCCCTTTTCCCTTTTTTTAATTGATATTGGATCAATCACATTTTTTTTAATTTCCTTTTATACCTCTTGTTTGAAAATATTTATTTAGTTCCTGTTCTCTTTTGTCCTTACCTGTTAACATACATCTCTTAACAAAGGTTAAAGTTAATCATTGTTTTTGTCATCCCCTTGACCTTGGAACACTTTAACTCTGTCTCCCTTCTTTCATCTTTTATGTTGTTGTTTTTTTGATTACAGAGAGGCAGTGGAGTTTTAACCACCTCAGAACCAGGCTGCCCGAGTTTAGTTTTCATTAACCCCTACTCCCATTTCCTCCCCCCAGCACCCACTCGTACATATATTTGATAAAATGTCCTTGGCTGTGTATGTCACTTTATATACCATATAGGATTGTTTTGATTGTGTATTTTTGACTAATGTAAATGTGTCATGCGCTATATCTCATTCTGGTTCTTACATTTTTTTACTCAACACTGGTTATTTAAGAAGTATCTGTGTTTTGGTCTGAATAACTACTTGGCGGTTCTTTGCACTATATTCCATAGTATACGTCATAGACACATTCTTTTAGTGATGGACATCTAAATTGCCTCTCTTCTCCCTGCTACCCCAGACAATACCCCAGTGATCTTTTTGCCTATGTTTTCTTATGTGAGAATTTTTCTAGGATATATACCTAGAATTATGATTTCTGGGTCATAGGCAAATATGCACAAAAAATTTAATTAAATATTACCTTTTTTTTTTTCCAGGACAACTGTATCAATTTGTAAACCTACCAGTGGTGCCCTGGATGCAAATCCATGTTCCACCACACATTACTGTGAGACATTGGAGAAATTACTCAACCTCTTTTGGCCTTTGGCTGCCCATCAATAACGGGGTAATTACAGCATCTGCCTTATCAAATAAATGTTAGATGTGTTGTAACAATGACTGCTACTATAATTGTTATCCATTAAATAAGCTTTTCCTTCTCTGAATTGTGTAGTTATATAATTTTCCCATTTCCCATCTCCACTTGGATTTCAATGTTTTCCCTAAGATTTACAGAAACTTCTTAAGTAGTCTAGATTTGATTCTTTGTTGCCTTTAAACTTTGCAAATATTATCTCCTAGTTTTACCATTTGTCCATTTGTCTATTAATTTACATCTACAGAGTTCTTTGACAGAAACCTTTAATATCAATATAGTCAAATTTATCCTTTACCTTTTTTTTCTTCTATCCTTTTTTTTGGCTTGTAGTTTAAAAAGTTTTTCTACCCTTACTTCAAAGATCCCTTTGACATTTTCTACTGTTAGCTTTTATAGATTTACCTTTCACATTCATGTTTCCTCATATAGCTTACAATAGTGAGCTCTTTTCTATATTTTTCTTTTTCCCTGAGTGAGTCTATGCCTAGGGTTTTGAAAGTATTCTGGGTTTTTTTCTGCTGCGTGTCAAAGGCCAGTTTTTATGTCAATTTCTCTGCTCAGGATTTCTGTAGGATGCAGGGTGTACATTTGGATGTTACACCTCTATGGCATACGTCTTCAGTGCCCCTTCATATTAAGCAACATTTGTTAATGAATGAGTGGATTGCCTTAATATTTCATTCAAGGCACTTCCCTGTGTGTTGTGAAGTATTAACATGGCCTTTTGCGGTTTCTCTAGGATCTAGTGCTGATCCTCACAAAGCAAATCCTGGAAGGACAGAGGAAGAGTTGGCCTCGAGGCAGAGCCGATGCGATGGAACTCCCCAACTATAGCCGGCAGCTGCTCCAGCAGCTCTACACGCTGTGCAAGGAGCAGCAGTTCTGTGACTGCACCATTTCCATTGGGACCATTTACTTCCGGGCCCACAAACTTGTCCTGGCTGCCGCCAGCCTCCTCTTTAAAACCCTGCTGGACAACACAGACACCATCTCCATTGATGCATCGGTGGTGAGCCCCGAGGAGTTCGCCCTCTTGTTAGAGATGATGTACACAGGCAAACTGCCTGTGGGCAAGCACAACTTCTCCAAAATCATCTCTTTGGCCGACAGCCTCCAGATGTTTGACGTGGCTGTTAGTTGTAAAAATCTTCTGAGTAGCCTTGTAAACTGCTCTGTTCAGGGCCAGGTGGTGAGGGATGACTCCGTGCCACCCTCGGAGTCATCCAGGAAGGAGTCGGAGAAGCCCGAAGCAGAAATCCTTTCTTCAGAGGGCGCGGGAGAGCCGCCTCCTCCCCGGGAGGGTACCTCCCCCGTGAAGGCCGAGACGCAGGAAGCCGTCCCTACGGTCGCACAAGAGATGAGTGTGGGTCCTTCCCCCGCCCCGGAGCGTCAGGGGGATGCTGACGCCCCAGCGGAGACCCCTCTCACTGCGGAAATCTGTCCGTCCCCCCCTGTTGTCCAAGCCTTCAGTGAGGCAAAGGAGGCCAGCACAGGACCAGGTAATACACGTGTAATAGTTGTTTTGTAATCTATCCTATCATCAGTGACTGGATTCAGTGACCTTTATGAATTTTTTTGTTTCATTGATAAATTTATCAAAGACCACTGTTAGGTAGGATATAAAAACCTAATACATTACTCCTACCAGGACATTCTTCTTGTAAAAGTACCTGTGTTTGTGAGTGTTAAAAATCTGAAGCTGAACTACAGGGCAGAAAAGCAATATTGGAATAACAGTGCACCATTTTTTATACTTGCCCATTATTTTAGCCAGGATGAGGATGGCACAAAGAAGGAAGATGTTAGAGACACAGTGTTCTATTTATTACTGATAACGGGTGTGCTGCATGACTCACAAGTGCAGTTTATGACCTGAAGCTTCTTTCAAAAGTCATTTCAGGTAACGAATCACTGAGTTTTTCTTTTTGTTTGTTTTACATTCAGAGTATGAGACAAAACACTACCAGGTGAATTTTCTTCTAGAAAATGAAAGTATCTTCTCAGACGCACTCTTGGTTACCCAGGATGTTTTAAAGAAACTAGAGGAATGTTCAGAAATTAAAGGTTGCCAGAAGGAGGTAGGTACTGAGTTTTACTTGCTAGTTTCGTGTTCTCAGGGTACCAGACCCGCTTCTAAAATAGGACAGAAATATGAAAATGCAAAATCCCCCAGAGTTTCAGTTCTTTCAAACTATTTTTTTAAACATCTATTCCCTAAAGTACTAGGCAAGATACTTTCAAAACAAAATTACCAGGTGAATTCCAGCTTATAACTAATTTTGATTCTTAAGTGATTATAACATTCCCTCCGGTTAATCAAGGATTAAACAAAATAACAAATACTTAACACTTGGTACAAAAAGGATGTAATATAAACTTACCTGATAAATTGTATCCAATGTTTAGGACTACAGTGGCCATTTTCAACTATCCAAACAAGAATGGTGAACATTTAGTATGCTGTGTTTGGAGCACGTGTTATCTCATTTAATCCTCACAAAAAATCTCAGAGGTGGTTGCCACTTTGGTATTTTTCAGCCTTGTCTTATGGCTGAGAAAACCATCTTAAGGAGATGCTGTAACTTGGCCAAGTCACAGAGCTTGTGAGACTGAGCAAGAATTCATACTAAGCATTCTAACTTGAGCTGTTCTCATACATGTTGAGTTCATACTGTCTCCCAAAGAGTAAAAGTGCTGTGTGTATATCACCTATATTAATAAAAGCATAATTCGCTAATTAGACTGATGACCTTCCAGAGGAATCCGGGGCTGCCAGGGAAGCCCAGGACCCGGGTGCCAGAGGGAAGCTGGTGCTGGCAGCGGGGGAAGGAAGGCCTACTCTCTTTTTTTTTTTTTTTTAAGATTAGAGAGAAAGGGAGAGAGAGAGAGAGAAACATCAGTGATGAAAGAGAATCATTGATCAGCTGCCTTCTGCACGCCTCACACTGGGGATCAAGCCCACAACCCGAGCATGTGCCCTTGACTAGAATCGAACCTGGGACTCTTCAGTCCCCAGGCCAACTCTCTATCCACTGAGCCAAACCAGCTAGGGCAGGAAGGCCTACTCTTGCAAGAATTTTGTGTATCGGATCTCCAGTGTATGTATAAATGTTCAGAAATTAACTGACATAAAAGCTGCCAAATGGTAGTCAGGCTCTGTTTCTTAGCCAACCTTTTTTTTTTTCTTCAATATCTCAGTGAGACCCCCCGACCCCGCCACCTGTAGGCTTCCTCCCTCCCCAGTTCCTCACAACCTTGCAGGATTGATCCCAGGGCCATTTTGGAACTTTCTTTGCTTTCCCTTTCCCCCAGCTCTCCCTTCCCAGAGGCGCTGGCAGAGGAGAGGGCACTGCCCCCAGGCTTTCTCATCTGATTGGTGGGCCATGTTGTGAGGTCTCCCAGGCTGCTGTAGGTGTTTAGTTTTTGTTAGTTACTATTAATCCGATAAATAAATGCCTTCCAATATTTAAATATATCCCTGATGCATAGTAAAATTAAAATAAAATAAAAAGTCAAGGTCAAGTACTTATTTTAACCCATGGTTAACCAACAGTTGGCTATAAATTATTTTCGTAAGAGATAAGCTATTTATAAGACTGGGATAACCTTGAGGACTCTTTTAGGGAGGGTTCAAATTATAAAGTCTTGGTATACTCTGAACCTTGTGCTGAAGGACATTATAGCTTTATGTTTTTGCACTTGGATGTTCTCTTAACTGTTCAATGCATCATTTTGTCACTGGTTTGTTACAGACAGTCCTCGGGTTATGTCGGACTCAACGTATGTGGTTTTGTGGTTAAGTCACCGTCTCCCATTTATTTATTTAAAAAAAAATGTTCTGTCATTTCAACGTATGTATCTATGTGCTTTATGTTTTTTATTATTTATTTACCACAAGTAAAGGTCGGGAATTGTTATTTCTTTAAAATTTTTTTTTACTGTTTCACTTCATTACTGCTGTGTACGTGCTCCATGTGAGTGACGTAAGTGCTTGTGTAGGTGGGTTCCGACTTACAGTGAAAATTGCGTTTCGTTGTGCCGTAGGAATGGATCTCCGACATAGCACTTTGATAGCTAGCTGTAGTCATACCTCTTTGTTTTTTCTCTTAAGGTTTCCTCTCCTCTTAAGTTTGGATGCGGAGAGCAACATCATCCCTTAGTCAGCAATACTGAAATTATTAATGACATCTCTGTACTTTACTTAATTGTGTCTTATTGCATTTTTTCCCTATCACTGGTGCCTAAAAGTATCTGGCACATAACAGGTGCTCAAAAATATTTACAGACATGGACTCATTTAACATTTTCCCCTCCAATTCTTATCCTAATCTTTTGATGGCAGTAACATTACTGGTACTTGGAAAGAACACTGAATCACTGCTGGCAATCATTATAGGCTTATGTTATTTCTTCCTCGGTTTTTAGATGTCAGAGTAAGAGCACTACACACCATTTGGTGGCTGTATTTAAAATTGATTCTGTTACATTCCATAATAAATCTTCCTGCTGCAGAAAGAAAAAGGAAAAAGATACTTCAAGAACATAAGATTACATTAAATAAAATATAGCATTAAGGAGGTGCTGCTTTCTTAGGCCCCGCACTTCTCTCTCTTTTTACTTGCTTTTAGACAGCTTTATTGAGGTATGATTAACATATAGTAAACTGCACATACTATTTAAAGTGTACAGTTTGACAAGTTTTGAAACATGAAACCATCACTACAATCAAGATAGTGAAGAGTCTGCCATTTCTAAAAGTTTTAGTTCCCTTGGTAACCCCTCCCTCCTCCTCCTTCCACTCACCCATGCCCAGGTAACACTGATCTGCTTTTACACTATAGTTAATTTGCATTTTCTAAAATCTATAGTATTAAAAGGGTAATATGCTAATTAGGCTGGGTTGACTAGCCATCTTCTGGATGTCCAAATTCCTTCCAGACAAAGCCACCGTGGTGGGGGCTGAGGCAGAGGCAGTTAGGGGCAATCAGACTGGCAGGGGAGGGCAGTTGGGGGCAAGATCAGGCCAGCAGGGGAGGGCAGTAGGGGGTGAGATCAGGCTGGCAGGGCAGGCCAGTTGGGGGCGAGATCAGGCCAGCAGAGCAGTTAGGGGTGATCAGGCAGGCAGGTAGTCAGAGAGGTTAGGGGTGATCAAGCAGGCAGGCAGAGGGGTTAGGGGCAATCAGGCAGGCAAAGGCAGTTAGGGGCCATCAGGCAGGTAGGCAGTTGAGCAGTTAGGAGCCAGTGGTCCCAGATTGTGAGAGGGATGTCTGACTGCTGGTTTAGGCCCAATCCCACAGCCAGTCAGACATACCCTAAGGGGTCCCCGATTGGAGAGGGTGCAGGCTGTGCTGAGGGAACCTCATCCCCCCATGCACGAATTTCGTGCACCAGGCCACTACTACTCTGTAAATGGAGTCATATAGTCTGTATTCCTTTGGTCTGGCTTCTTTCATTCAGCATACTTATTTTGAGGTTGCATATTCATTCCTTTTTACCACTGAGCAATGTCCATTGTGTGGATATACAGTTTATCCAATTCTGCTAACCTTGTGACCTCAAGCAACTTTATCTCTCTAAGCCTTTATTTTCTAATTGGTAAAATGGGAATGTTATCACTTATATCTCAGAATCATGGTGAAATTAAGGTTATTTAATTTAGTTACGAAAGTCATACTAAAATGCCAGGCACATAAAAGGACTCAGTAGGTTAGTTATACATTAACACAGACTTTTTAGACATAATTAATCTTGAAACCCCTTTTTCACTGCATGCCTTTTTTTTTTTTCTTTTTCCAAAACAAAACGTTTTCATTTTAGCTCCAATGACATTTTTGCCATCTTTCCCCCAAAACATTTTTAGGACACAAAATAGATTCATAATTGTTTAATTAGATACATTTTATATACTATGAACACAATGGCTCCCATAGAAATAAACTAATATTTTGTACACATAATTTTATTTACTGTGCCACATTCATAATACACCAAACTTCACCTTATGCCTTTTCACACCCTAATACGATGGTCATTTACTCCTACACGAGATCGTTTGCTGTCGCTTTCGGCATAATTTGCAAGTCATGTTTTCAAATAGGTGCCATTCCCATCTTGGAAGTAGCTTCCTGGTCTGTAGGTGTAGTGACTCCTACACAGCCATTGCCTCTACAACAGTTCAGGGTGTATAAAAATCTCTGGGACTTGTTAAAATGTACACCTCCAGACCACATTTCCAGAGAGTCTGATTCCTAGGTTGTGGTAGGACTTGGACATCTCCCTCTTTAACAGCTGCCCTGTGGGATGCTATTTGGTGTCTGTAAACCACATTTTGAGAAGCACTGCTGGAAAATTAATGGCTCACAAATTCTTAGTGTGTGATGGCAGATGTCACAGTTTCTCTGCTGACATTTCTTAAACTTTTGTGGGGTCACTGAATATCTATTTTTCCAAGGGTTACTCTTTGCTTTCCCCTTGACTCAGCAAATATTTACTGAGCAACTGGTATGTGCCAGACATTGAGCTGGTTGCTAGGAAAATAAACCTAAGACTAGATCCCTGTCCTTATAGAATATTCTAAGAGCAAAGAAATCTGCCAGGTGTAATTTGGGGGGAATGTACACAGAAGCCACCAAACTATAGGAATCACTAAAAGACATCAGTGTTCAGAGTATTTAAGATTTGTTCTGCACCTATAATTGTAAAGATTGTTTGGAGGGTTCAGCTTGTTGTTTTTCTGCTTACATATTTTTAGTTCCCAAAGAGCTTTGAGTATTTTTTTTGCTGGTGGTGGTTAGTTATCCTATATAATAAAGAGCTAATATGCAAATGGTTGTCACTCCCTCACGCCCTCATAGCTCAGACACTTACAATGGGGAGAAAGGAATGGGGACCAACCAGGCACAAATGAACTTGTGAGACAGGAAAGGGGACCAGCCAGTCTGGAGCCAGGGAGAGGGACAAGCTGCAGCCAGAGAGAGGGACAAGTTGCCCACCCTACAGTCCTAGGTTCCAGTGGCTATAGCCCGGGAGAGGGACAAGCCGCCTGCCCCATGGTGCTGGGCGCCAGAGCCTGTGACTGCGGCCTGGGTAAAGCTGCCCGCCCACTGTCTCCTGCAACTGCAGTCAGCCTGGGTGAAACTGGCCCAGCTCCTGGGTGCCTGTGGCTAGCCAGAGGGAGGGAAGCCCAGGTGCCTGTGACCGGCCGGAGGAGGGAATCCTAGGTCCCGGGTGCAGGGCAAGGCAGAGGCAGTTAGGGGCAATCAAACATCCCCCGAGGAGTCCTGGATTGGAGAGGGTGCAGGCCAGGCTAAGAGGACCTTGTTTCCCCCATGCACAAATTTTGTGCACTGGGTCTCTAGTCATAACATAATTTGAAATAGTTTAATGTTAAAAATAATCTATGCTTGGACTGGCTGGCGCGGCTCAAGTGGTTGAATGTCGACCTATAAGCCAGGAGGTCACAGTTCGATTCCCGGACAGGGCACATGCCTGGATTGTGGGCTTGATCTCAAGTAGGGGGCGTGCAGGATGCAGCCTATCAATGATACTCATCATTAATGTTTCTCTCCCTTCCTCTCTGAAATTAATTTTTAAAAATGTATTTAAAAATAATTTATCCTTAGATGTGTCATTGTAAGGCTTGATTTAAGGCTTATAGGAGATTTCTGGTTGAAGTGGACTGCATGTACCTTTTCTGAAAAACACACCACGCTGTGAAGCTGGCCTGAGTTTAGGAAGGACACCATGGGCCAGTGTCCTGATTATTTTATTTCCTGAGATAAATGATGAAAGGTGGCAAAGCCATTCCCTTAGCAATGATTTCGGCAACATGAGAAGAGGCTGGGCTGTTTGAATTGTGTGAAACCAAAGCCAAAACTGATTACGGAGAAGCGCGTTGGTGCTGGGATGAGGACGTGTCTCCTGCCTGTCTTTGTGTTCTGTCCCCTACCCACTAGAAAAAGCAGGCACTGACCTCGGGCTTTCTGGCTGAGCTCAGTAAGATCTTTCTTTAAAGGCAAACTCAGGCTTTCTTTCAGCTTTTACGCTAGAACTTTTCATTGTCTTCTTTATTCCTAGCCATGTCCCTGCTTTTAATTAATTGTGTGTATAGCAAAGTGAGCCTTTCACTAGAATAAAGAGATTCCCTTTGTTACTATTGATTTCCTTGCTGCTTGAGCCACATTTCACCTAAAGTTCTAGAAAGACTCCCAAAGCTGAGGATGTAGTAGCATTTTTTTCTCTTTCAACTTTGTTTCAAAGGCAAACAACTTTTATTACCTGCGAGAATCTGATGTTTCAACCACGTCACTGCTTTGGAGCTTAGTCAGAAAGTGTAGGTCTGTGTTGTTTGGACTGTTCACTGACAGGGTAGGCTGACCCTCTTGAGAAGTGAATTAATAGGATTCACTCTGCAGGTCTATGAGAGATGAAAATACATTTTCCCCCAAATCTCCTCTGTGCTAATTATCAAGTCTAAGATATGCTACCATAGACAGGAAAGACTAGTGTGTTATGGCAAAGAAATTTCATTTAGGTAAGCATTTATTAAGCACCTACTATGTACCAATCTCTACTAATCATTGAAGACCACGTGGAATGCTGCAGGTTGTCTAGATACTACTATTCAGTGTTCACAGTGATGTGGATTCTAGACGTCCAGTAGAATCCAGTATACATGGATTTGGTCACACTCAAAATCTGGGAGATGGAACTGGATAAAGAGGGTGCCAGGTCAGTGAGATCAGTGTTTGTTTTTTTTCCTAGACTCTTCTGCTCGCTTGCCACATGACCTTGGGTGGGTTACTTCACCTCTCTGACTCATTTAACTAGTCTTGGTAATGCCTCCTGGGAGTGATGTGTGGAGTAAGGTAGATGGCACAGGTGCACAGTCTGGGGTGGTGTTGAGCTGCGGTGGTCTGTATCATTCCTGCTCTCAGCATTTAGGGGAGGCATGAGCAAACAAGAATGTATAATAGTGTAGCCCAAACAAACCTGATGGCTAACATTTGGGAAAATAAGAAAATTCAGTTAAAAGACCTGAGTGTAAGGGGAAGATTAAGTGTTTTATCACATATAATTGAGAGAAAGGAAACTGTCTCATCTTTACTTTACTCACATAAAAATGCTTTGATTACACATGTGACTATGAATTTATATGAATTTACTAAGGTGCAGTACCTTTAACTCTAAGAATCAAAGGAGTTCCAAATGTGTGGTTAAAGAACAGAAGTCTGTTTTGGTTCATGTCTTGGAGTCTGTTTCGTGGTAGCAATCAGTGAGCCCCAGCCTGTAGCAATTTGTGACACCCTTCTGTTTAGGCAGACACGCTATTTCAGAAAAGAGCCCACTCCACTGAGGAGCCCCAGGCAGCGCAGAGGCTGGAGGAGAAACAGTTTATGAACGCTGGCTCTGATACAGGTCCCCAGTAGGTTCTGGAAGGAAGAGCGGAGAGCAGGGCCATCCAGGCAACTCACTGCTCCCTCCTGGCCCTTCCATCAGCCCACCCCTCCTTCTCTTCCCAGATGGTCACCCTAGCGTCACTGCTGAGCAATGAAGTTAACAAATGTTTTAATTTCACTGCTGAGTAGTTCTGCAGAGGAGGAGACAGCAGAGAGGATAATGAGAAGCACATCCGATGCCACCATTGATGAAAGCTTCTCTTCCCCGGTGGCTCCAGTGATAATGCTAGACAAATTGGATGCTGAGAAAGGTGGATTTGGGCTATTCCAAGAGCTTCGGGTGCACAAAGCTGGACACCTATAGAATGAAATGGCTATAGGCCATTTAATTACGATGTGCTAAAGAAAGAAAGGGAAAATAAAGACAAAGAAACATGCTTACTCAGGGCATTAGCAATGAGTGAGTCTCTCTCAGTTATCCATTGCTATGTAACAAATTACTCTAAAGTTTATCAGCTTAAAAGATCAAACATTTATAACCTCATGGTTTCTGTGGGTTAGGAATCCAGGCCTACTTTAGCTGAGTCCCTGGCCTGGAGCCTCACAGGGCTGCCCTCTTAAGTGTCAACCAGGGCAGCCAACATCTCTGGGCTCGCTGGGAGAGTGTCTCTCTAAGCTTGGCCACGTGGCCTTTGGCAGGCTTTGGAAGAGCCACTTCCAAGTTCACTCACTGACTGTTGGCCAGAGAATTTAGCTCCTGGCCACTGTCGGCAGCTTACAACATGGCAGCTTGCATCAGAGCAAAGATGGTGCACACTTAGGCAAGGTGGAAGTCACAGTGACCTCATCTCAGAAGTGGCATCCATTACCTTTGCCTGTTACCTTCCTTAGTTATTAGGGCCAGCCCAAGGGCATGAGTGCCTGAAGGCAGGGACATTGAGGACCATTTTAGAGGCTGCCTACCTCAGGTCCCTGCTGCTGTCAGGGAAAAGGCATTCCACAGAGAGTGTAGGCCAGCTAATAGAAACATGAAGGGTTAGATATGTGTGACTAGAGGGATTAAGCATTCAATTGGTGTCTTAATCTTATTTATTATTTTAATATAGAGACAAGATAAGTTCATGGTAGTTACTTAAGTAACCAGCAAGAAAGGCTATAAAGGAGTGGTCAGAAAGTGCTTATCCAAAATGCTTCATTCAGTCTGATGAAGTTAGAGGAGAATTGTTATACAGAGGCAATAGCAGTGCCAAATGGCACAGAATGGTCAAGTGGTGGGTGGGATCAAATTGTTGTGGGCCTTACTTGCCAAACCCAAGAAGCGTGGGGTTCTTGCGTCCAGCTGATCTCTCTTTCTGGGTACTTGTGTTCCGTAGGCCATGATGGGATGTCTTGTGGGTGCAGAAGGACATTCAGCATTCCAGAGAATCCTGGATAAAGTAAGAGCCGGGAGCCTGGATGTTCAGACGGTTGTGACCCTGCTGAGGCTGTACCAGGATTCTAATCCTGCAGTGAAGACAGCCCTGGCAGGTGGAAAGCCAGAGGCTGCGGAAGCCGTGCAGCCAAGAGGTAGGAGAAGCCCATCCACTGGATCACCCAGTTTTTTTCTGGGCAGATGCTATGAATTTTGCTCCAGTGATTCATTTCTTCAGTGGCCTAGTTACTGTGAAGTGATTTTCACATAAATTGTGCATGTAACTCCAGAAGCTGCGTGTTAAATATGTACAAGCTAAATTGGAGACTCCATTTCTATCCCCTCGTGTGCTAAACGAGTCTGACACCTTGAGGTTGGAGAATGCCATCAGTGTTCTTCTGCCCTTCACAAAGCCACACACCCTCCCCGATGTGCTGAGCCCAGGGTGAGCTGGTTCGCTGACAGCACTTTAAAGGCTGCAGCCTGTCTCTTTGGGGTTCGGTACAAAGCAGTGGCCTTGCCAACCAGAAGTTAACCTCTGGCTGGCTCTGCGGCTTTGTGTTTCCACAGATAAATGAAATACTTTTCCTTTCATACAATTTAAACAGAATAATAAAGTGTTTTCCTCTCCAAAAAGCGAGATTCTGCATTGGATCCTCAGAATAGGACGAGAACCACTTTGCTATTCTGTTAGATCTCTCTTGACAAACCACGCTGTCATTTTCTTCAAATTGACCGGCTTCTCTTGTGCGTCTCTAACTCTTTCCCCCCAGGGAGCACGGGAGAGGGAAAGGCCTTGTCCGCTCTGTTACTAGAACACAAAGAGGACCTGATCCACTGTGTAACCCAGCTGAGACCTATTATGGAGTTCCTGGAAACAGCCACGGAGGGATTCCTGCCCGGCACCGAGAAAAGGGTAACTGTCGAGCGTCTCCCCTCCCTTCTGGATTTATAAGGCACTGTGTGTTTTTTTAAACTTCTTTTGCAGCATGTAGCAATTTTCGCCTTGCAGTATGTTTGTACATACTACATAGTAAGCACCTTGAAGTTCAGGTTCTTGATTCATGCCTCTGCATCCTAGCAGCAGCCTGCCAAAGACCTTAAGCATTATAGTTGTCCATTAAATAGGCAGGTATACAGCGGATGGGTATTCCTGCTCTGGTCAGTGAGTTTATGAAATAGTTGTCCCGAGAATTGAAATGTCTAGGTATATTTGTAATTATATGACACTTTTTCCTTTTTAAAGAAATTATATACTGTTCATCTGTAGAAAACAGTGGTGGGGGGGGCGGCGGTTGGAATTCCAATATCCCGCCATCCCATCACTCAGAGGTGTCACTGCTAGGCTTATCTCCCCTTTTCTTGTCTGAGTCATCCTTGCACGGGGTTATCAGACAGTTTTTTAACTGTTTTATTTAATGTATTGTCAATACACCTCCTTACTTCAGTATGGATTTTGGGAGCTGTATTGCACTCTGTCCAATGGACATACCATAATTCATTAATTCTTTATTGTTGGGCATTAGCTCCCAGTGTTTTGCTATTGTAAATGATGTTTCAGAGAGCCCCCTGGCTCTTACTCTTTGCATACTTCTGAAGTCCTTTCCTTAGAATAATTTTAAGAAGTGGGATTTTGAAATAGTATGAAGTGTTTCAAGTGCTTGGTATATGTTGTCAATTGCCCTTCAGGAAGGTTATACCGATTTACTCTCCCACCAGCCGGCTACTAAAATCCTCATAAAACTGCTGGCATGTCTTCTCAAGTCACCTAGATAACTGTATTTGTCAATGTTATTGATTTCAACTTTGTGCTAAAAATATTTTTATATCTGGAAGGAAGCAATAAGAACAGAGAACTTTTGTGGCATCAATTCTTTGTGTGAAGTGGCTTAAATGTTCAGAGGAGAAAGTGTTTACAATAATCACTGTTATGATGGCTAAGCACTGGATGAATATTGAGACTGGATTCTACATTTCCTCTTTTCTTTTTTCCAGTAATCTTGTATTGCTATTTTTTCATATAAAATGGGAATAATCTTTAATCTCAAACTTGTGTTTTACAAATTAGGTTTTTAAAATTTTAACTCCTTTGAACTTCTTAGAAAAAATATAATACACAAAATAATATTAAAATTAAACCCCTGTTTTATCCTTAGACTTCAAATTAAGTGTAATTTCTGGCACTCAAAGTAAGTTGCTTTTGTGCTGGAGGCACCTGATACCCTTAGTGATTCCATTCGATTACTCATTCAAACCTTTTCCTTGATAGCTGGATTGGATGTGTCCTCTGAACTGTTTCATTATCTTGGTAAAACAGCATTGATAGGGCGAGCCCAAACTCAGCCTCATTGTGTGCTGCAAGGCAGACCATGCTGTCATTTTCTTCTGTCGTTTTCACTTAACTTGACAGAAAGGGCTGAAGCAGAAGAACTTAAATTAGTAACAAATTACAAAAAACATTTCTTAGGATTGGGTTCCACCAGAGCCTCATTAAGCTACTCCTTTTCACAAAGATTGAAGCAAAATAATAAAGTAGGTGTGTAGAGGTGAATGTTGATCAAATAGCCGCAGTGTTTTGACATCACGTGGAACATGCACGCAGGCCTTTTAGAGCTTTTTTTCTGCTATGGAGTGATGTTAATGACAGGCACCATGGCCCTTATCTGTACATATCTTGGGTTCTGCAAGAAATGGTGAGTAAGAATGACTTCAGGATTAGAAACATACAAAGACAGGAATTACATAGCTGCCATTTACTTATTGCTTGCTGTGTGCCAAGAAATACGCTGGGGACCTTTTAAGTTTATAAACTCTACCCTCACAGCAACATTATGAAGCTATGGATATTACCCTAATTTTAAAGAGGAAGAAACAGGCACTTAAGAAGGTTAAGCAGCTCACTCAAAGTCACAGCTGCTTGTAGCCAATACTGGAACCCAGACTTCTCAACAAAGCACATTTTCTTAACCACTGTGCATACTGCTGCTAATAATATCAGTAACTACTGTCAGTCACAATCACACATGTCCTAGGGGTTATGCTAGGCTCTCCAAACAGCAGCTTCATTCTAGACGTCTCTTAAGAATAGTGCAAGAGGTGGTACACTTATAGTACCTTTTTTGCAGATGAGGAAAATAAGGTTCAAGCTCACACGGGCAATAAATTTTAGAACTGGGGTTCAAACTAGGCCTATCTGGCTTGAAAACCCATTCCTACTTTTAAAGTAACTGGCTTCCTCATTGTGTGTCAGGTTATTGCTTCAGCATGAAGAGATAGCATTGAAATCAATATGGGTTTTAGATACAAGCTCTTAAATTTTAAATTATGATTCATTTAGTAGAAATCTTAGATACATTAGACCTTAAAGAAAATGACTATGTGGTATACTGACAAGGAATATGACAACTCATTTATAATACATCCATTCCTTTAATATATATATAATATAAAATTTTCCTTTCACATATATAAAATTAATTTTTAAAGTGTATTTTTATTGATTTCAGAGAGGGAGAGAGATATAGAAACATCAATGATGAGAGAGAATCATTGATCGGCTGCCTCCTGCATACCCCCCACTGGAGATCAAGCCTGCAACCCAGGCATGTGCCCTTGACTGGAATCGAACCTGGGACCCTTCAGTCTGCAAGCCGATACTATTATCCACTGAACCAAACCAGCTAGGGCAAACCAATTTGTTTTTATAGCAAAAGTAATTATTTTAAACTGGGAGTTAATTTGATAGTAGCATCCTCTCGCATGCTGCTGTGAATGATCTGCTGGACGGCTTCTCCTGAGAGCTGGTACTTTTCCAAAGGAAAGTTCAAAATTCAGTCACTGTGAACCTGTAGATTATGTATTGAAATAACCCCCTGCCTTATCAGTTTCATAAGAGCCAAGTTATGCATAGTGAGTTGTAAATCCATTAAGAAACAGTTCTATTGTAATTGGAAAATATCTGTAAAAGGATGTCATCTGTTTGATTTTTCATCTTTTTGCTTGGTCCTTATGCACGCTTGACTCAGAATACCCTTCAACACACCAGGAAGAACAGATGATGTGGGTGATGAGTGGAGCTGGTATATGAGGCCATTGGGAATGAGAAGGATAGACAGCAAAGAATCCACAGGAAGCTAATCCAAAAGTGTACTTTACGTCTTATTTTGGAGGACACAGACTAATATGTAAATTATCTGGTATTTAAAATGCTGTACAAATAAAGTAAAAAGAAGTAAAATAATAGAATTGTGTTGAAATTGCAACCTGTACCGCTGTCGTGTACTTTACTGAACAGAAATTGAAAAATGCTATAACTGTATTAATTGCCCATCTGTTTCTCAGCCTTAGTGTCAGAACAGACTGAATCTTAAGAATCAGGTTAGATGTAAGCTACTTGCTCTGCTGTGTAGGCCCAGTGTAAGAGTATTTTCACAAAATGCAAACTGTTGGAGGCAAAGAAATATACACTGTCTGCCACTGAGAAAGATTGATTTTCATGGAGCTATTTGTTCGGAGAATGTTTTGGGTTTTTACTGAAGCAGAATAAGGAAGAGACTTTGACAAAAATAACACCAAAGACCAGCAGAGGGAGGACCTGGAGACAGGGCATCTGGTAATACCAGCTTGCTGGCCTCTCCAGTGGTGCAACAGATACACTAGAATTGCCAGTAACTGGTGTCTGGTTGATTGCTTGCCACCACAGGTGATTCTGAATTGCTGTGAGAGCGGAACACCCAAGGAGACAATAGAAAAGTTGTTGCACAGAATGTCTGAGGAGAGGACCCTAACTGCGGAGAGTTTGGTAAAAGTCCTTCAGGCTGTGAAGATGGCGTTCCCGGATTTGGGCCTCCTGCTGGAGAGTTTGCAGAAACTAGCCACTTTGCCAAGCACCGCAGGTATTGTTAATTGCTGGCTCTCTGGACTGGAACTGCTCCGACAGAAAATTATAGCTTAAACACATGTTAGTGCCATGCTGGGGAGCAAGATAATGTTAAGAAATGCCATTGCAAAACAGAAACTAGCTGTCACCAATCAGTGATCCTAATATTTCTGAAGTTAAGATCTGGAATCTGAGAACCATTCTTTCCTATTAAGCTCCCTTATGATGGTCCAGTGTGCAGGGTTTGTTAAGTGTGGCTTTCCCAAGATGTCACGTGTCATCAAATGGACTCACAAGGCTCACGATTTTGACACGTTATGTTTACAAATGTGAACAGTAAAAACTCAAATCTTGATTTTCCCATTTCCACTGAGTGCTGTTTGGTTCCAGTAGCCCTCCTGTCCATTCAGTTTGGGGCAGGGAGTCCGTATTTCATCCTTAGAAAGACACCCACTCTAGCCAGTTCTCTCCTGTCTTAGAGCATTTGAAACTAGATGGTTTTCAGGAAAAGCAGGAAGTGAGAACTTTTTTCTAGCTTTTAAAAGTAATATATACTTATACAGACTTGAACAGTTTTAAAAATAAAGGGGGAAAAAAACAACCTAAAATCCTACCACTTGATTATATCAATATTTACACATTGTCATATTTTATCTGTCAATTATTTGTACAGTGTTGAGATACTTAACCAAATGGTGTAATTTTTCTCATTTAACAGTATAATATAAGCATTCTCCCCCATTACAAAAAGTTCCCTCTAATCCCGTTTTTTAAGGGTAGGTAGTTTTCATTCACAAGGATGTGTATGATGTATTACTCCTGCCCTTGTTTGAGTACACATGTAGCATAATGGGTAAGACTGTCAAGACGACTCATTTTGTAGCTGTGTGACCCTGAGCAAGTGACTTACACTTTTTGAACCTCATTCTCTCCTCTATGAAATAGAGATAAGAAAGGTACCTGTCACATTCATTTTTGTGGCTTCCATGAGATTATATATGTAAAACATTTAGCACAGTGCCTGCATATCATAGGCACTCATAAATAGTCGTCATTATCTTCATCGTCATCACCACCACAAGTTATACAGTGATAATACCTTGATCCCCAGGAGCAGAATTATTGGACCAAAAGGGAGAATAACTTTTTAAATATCAGCAAAGCTAATGGAAATGCCTGATGGTGTTGATTTTTCTTTAATTTCAAATAAATATGACCTCTTAAAGGAGAGCATCTAGCAGATTGGCTCAAGGGTTTGTAAACAGAATGGTGGGGCAGCTTCACTACCACAGTCTCGGCTCACGCCTGCCTGTGTTTGACCACCACATGGATCCTCTGCCTCAGCCTTGATAAGCCACACCCCTTGAATCTGTTCATCTGGTTCTGTTACACGTGAAGCCTTCTAGTCACTCTCTTCTCTCCTCACCCCCTCCCCAGCCCATTGAGGAACCGCTAGCTTCTGCCACGGGCACTAACTTTCAGAGGCTTAATGGTCTGTGACCCTGCACACCGAGTGATCGAGTGCAGCCTGAAGGACATCTGAACATGAACACGCTCACGAGGCCTAAGCCAGGAGCTGAGCTCCTCTCCGGAGGACACAGTGCCCTTGCGCTGACTTCTCCCCTCCTCTCTCATTGAAACTCCCTGGTCCTCCATAGGAGAAGCCCCCAAGGAGCATTATTGTTTTTCTAATATCCTTACAGGCCAAGCGAGCCCTGAAGATTACGGGACGGAGCTATTGAGACGCTATCAGGAAAACCTCTCTGAGATTTTCACGGACAACCAGATGTTATTAAACATGATCCCGCACCTGAGGAGTTTAGCCCCTGGAGAAAGAGAGGTAAGAGAGGGGACGGGGAGGGAGGTGTAAAATAAGAAAGTAGAGAAAAAGATGAATTTTTTTAAAAGGTATTTATATCTTATATAAATATACACACACAGCCATGTTGAGAAATGCTAAGGGGTCAGTAGAGGAGAAATAGAAGGTGATTCCGTTCCTGAGACGGCATGACAAGTAGGATAGCTGTAACTTGTGCAGTAATAAGGAAAGGCACTCAACAGGAGGCGTGAAGAACTTCGTGGTACAAGCATGTCTCTGTAGAGTGAGTGAAGGTGCTGAGAACTCCTCCCATAGGCACAGTCCCTGAACCCAGAGGCCAGGAAGCCCCTCACGCGAGTGTTTGTGCTGCCCCCTGAAGGTCATGGAGAAGCTGGTGAAACGTGACTCTGGTTCCGGTGGTTGCAGTTCTTTGATGTCAGCAGTTCTAGAAAAGCAGACCCTGTCCGCGACGGCCGTTTGGCAGCTGCTGCTGCTGGTCCAGGAAGCCAAGGCCTGCCCGCTGAGCCCACTCATGGAGGAAATGCGAAGGGAGCCGGGCGCCGGGGCTTTCTTCCGGGCAGGTAGGTGACCAACCTGCGTGTGACCGGCCCACTAGAGGTTGTCCGGAGATAGCAGGGGCTCTCTATGGCAGCCTCCAGGCCCTCCCGTTAGAAATCAGGATGAGTCATTTTGTTTCAGGATGTAAACCTTTTAAAATGAAAGATGCAGTAAGTATTCTAAGCTTTTATTAGGAGTTATACTCTCAGTGCCATTTTCCTTGCTCCCACCCCCAGCTAGGAGACAGGTGAAGTGTACTCTCATTATGAAGAATTGATTGAGAAAAGGTGAAGAGAATTCCAGAGCCCAGAACGGTGCTCATAGTTTACTAATGGGTTCTCACCCCCTTTTCTTCCAGTGAGCACCCCAGAAAGTGCTGCCTTAGGGGCCATCCTGAGGCACCGCGTGCTGATCCTGGAGGCCATCCAGCGCACGCTTGAACTCAAGGGCTTGACCTCGGAGGAAGAGCCCCTGGCGGAGGCTGTGAAAGAGGTGAGGTGGGAATGGAAAGCACACTGTTTGGAGAGTCAGTGCCTGGGCCTGCCTCACTCCTGGGGAGGAACCAGCTTCTGCGGAGGGAGTGCCTGTGTGTGCGAGCCTCTGCCAGCCACACCTCTTCTGCTCTACGTGGGGGGTGATGTCATCCCCAGTGAACGGATAAGGGAACTGAGGCCCCGAGTGTTCGGTAGCTTGTCTGGTTGCTCCAGCTGCTCAGAGATGAAGCAGAGTGCAAACCAGGTTCATGTGACAAACCCACTAGATTTATTCCTTTTGTCTAAACCTCGAAAACCAAGGGAGCCATACTGCTCTCTAACATGTTTTAAGAAGCAACTTCTTTTAGAGGAAGGAAGCTTAAATGGTCTTATGTGCTCCATTCTGGCTTCTAGAAAGAGCCAAGATACACATAGATAGAACAAAGCGTTTGCCCATATGGGGCAGCAAATAGTGCCAACTCATTTTCTGTAAGGCTTCTCACAGTGTGGCCAGCATCCCAGAAAAGCCAGGTGGGGGCTGGGGGAGAATTCGTGGATGACCAGGTGTACCTGGAGTGGGGAAGACTCATAAAGGAACAAAAACACAAGTTCACCGCAGTGCCTTTTGATCCACGTGGGCATGAGAGGTGTGCAGAGGGCTGGTTTCTCACTGCCACACCGGTGCCCACCCCACCTTAGTCTGGCTTTCCAGCGGAGGAAGGCGGCACATGCTTCTGTGGGCTTCAGAGGGAAGATCCGGCTGTTAGACTCCCCCAGCGCCACACACTTCAGAGACGGGGCTTCTGCAGCTGATCAGTTGAGCCTCACTAATGAGTCTCATGCCTGCCTCCAGGGACAGCAGGCTTATTTAGAGAGACTTGAAAAGAGCAGAAATAAAATATCTTCCAAAATGAAAATTCCGTTTGGCCATCTGTGGATGGTTTTGCTTTTATTTCCTCAGTGTATGACTGTTTCTGCTGATAGCTCTCACATTCTGAAAGAGGGTGGCTTTGAAAGAATGTTCGTGGCCTCTTGAAAGCCCCTTTCTTTAAAAAGCTGTTTCTTTATGAAAGAAAATGATGTTTAAAGGGTGCATCTAAGTATCTAAAAATGTAAAGCCACTGATCATGCAAATTACTTCCAGATACTGAAACAATTATCTATTATAAGAAGTTATTTTGATCTTCAAGGCAGAAACACCAACAACCAAATCCTACAGTTTTCCAAGCTTTTCATATTAAGATCTGGAGAAGTTCTGGTTGCTGAGAGGGTATTTCTCGTGGCAAACGCTTCCTGCTTCCTGGCGTGCACCTTTTCGCATCTGCACACTTGTCTTCCAGGTGCCTCCTGTTGCACTTGTTAATGTCCATGTTTTTTGGAAAACAGGGCTCTCCACTACATTTATCACAGGCATTGTAAGCTTGTTATAGATGGAGCAATGCCTTCCTGAAATTAGCTTGCTTTTTTTAAAAGTAGCAAACCATGTAGAAAATCGGTTGATATTAACCGCAAACCCTCGTCTCGTGGTGTTCATTTAGATTCTGAGCATCTCCTCTGAGACAGCCAGCCCTGCAGCCTCCCTGCGAGCAGTGCTGAGCAGAGCCGCGGAGAAATCAGTGTCGGCCACTGAGATGTGTCAGCTCCTGTGCAGCGCCCGCCGCTGCTCCCCTGGCCTGCAGCCTGTGGTGCAGGAGTTAGCACACACTGGTGAGGAACGGGTGGTGGGGTCCTGTCGGTTCCCAGGGGGTTCCGTATTGGAGAGAAGAGGCAGCAGTTCATAGGAGATTTCATCTTAGTTGTTTTATTTACTTATTTTATATGCTCTCGTATTTAGAAAAGTCATAGACATAGATGCAGAATGATACTGTTTGTGCTAATCAAGTAAAGAGGATATTGCTTCCGAGTTTTCTGAGGGTCTCAAGTAGTCTGCATTCTCCTCTGAGAAGAAACATTCGGGAGCAATGGAGAAACTTAGAGCCACGAGATTTCTCTCCTCTGCAGGTTTCCTTACTCAGGAAAACGGGGAGAAGGACAGGTGGAAGGTGAGTAATAAGTTTCACCTGGAAGCCAACACCAAAGCTGATGCAAAGGCAGCTGAGCCCGCTGAGGAAGACGGCCAGTCCCAGAAGCAGAATGGCCAGGGGGAGGCTCGCTCCCTGCCAGAACAAGAGAAAGATCCTTCTGCCTCCCCGGACTCTGCCAAGAAGAGCTTTGTGTGTACGGCCTGTGACAAGAGCTTCCATTTCTACTGCCGCCTGAAGGTGCACATGAAGCGCTGCCGGGTGGCCAAGAGCAAGCAGGTGCAGTGTAAGGAGTGCAATGAGACCAAGGACTCTAAGAAAGAGCTGGAGAAGCACCAGCTGGAGGCCCATGGCGCAGGGGGAGAGGCTGAGGCCCCCAAGAAGAAGAAGAAGAGGCTTCCAGTGACCTGTGACCTCTGTGGGAGAGAATTTGCTCATGCCTCAGGTACGTTCAGGAGGGCGAGGTAACTGGCCATGATCATTCTGGACGCTGTGGTTTGGACTCCAGGCCTGGCTCCTGGCTGTATGCACTCAGGGGCAGGGATAGGCTTAGAAAGCAGCAGGTTCCACCGAAACCTGTTTGGCTCAGTGGTAGAGCGTCTGTCTGCGGACTGAAAGGTCCCGGGTTCAATTCCGGTCAAGGGCATGTACCTTGGTTGTGGGCACGTCCCTGGTGGGAGGTGTGCAAGAGGCAGCTAGTCGATGTTTCTCTCTCATCGACGTTTCTGGCTCTCTATCTCTCTCCCTTCCTCTCTGTAAAAAATCAATAAAATATATTTAAAACAAAAACAAAAACAAACAAAACAAAAAAACCCAGCAGGTTCCCACAGAGGCAGGGCGATGTTTGGAGAAGAGCATGAGCTTTGGAATATGTTCTCTGAATTTGAATTTCCCCACCAGTAGACACCCTCACTCCACTTACCTTTTTAGATTGTTATGAAGATTTAAGATAATATAGCTAAACACCTAATACAGTACCTACATTAAGTTGGTGCTCAGTAAATTGTGGCTATCATTCATATGATAACCAACTATTTTAGCACCTGACTCTTAAGCTTCTATGCATCACTTGAATCGTAATAATAAACAAGAGAAACCATGGGTACATAGTCAGAATTTCTGTTTTCCCTTGGCCCAGATGTTGGGTAAACCTAATGAAACATAACAGTGAGTTTTGTTTCACTCTTTCTGGGTGACTGGATCCTGTTTAAGAGAAGGAGAGAGGATAGGAAAGAAAAACCTAGGACCCTTCATGCCTGATTGAACCATGAGTGGGACTGAAGTGACTTTTGGAGTGCTGGGCAGATGGGCAGCTTGGTCGTTTGAGGTCAAAGCACATATGACCTGTGTCCGTGGTTCATGCTGGGGTTCCTCATGAGTCCTGGCCTGAGGCATGTTGGGGTGGACCTGACAGTGGATACGAGGTAGCGTCATGGCAACTGATGACTGGTATCTCTCCGGTCCCTGGCCGGCCTCCCCAGGCATGCAGTACCACAAGCTGACCGAGCACTTCGACGAGAAGCCTTTCTCCTGCGAAGAGTGTGGGGCAAAGTTTGCAGCCAATTCTACCCTGAAGAACCACCTCCGCCTCCACACTGGGGACCGCCCGTTTATGTGCAAGCACTGCCTCATGACCTTCACCCAGGCCTCGGCCCTGGCCTACCACACCAAGAAGAAGCACTCCGAAGGTAAGGCATGGGAAGTGTGTGTGTGTGTGTGTGTGTGTGTGTGTAATGTTTCTGTTGATTTCAGAGAGAAGAAGAATAGAGGGATAGAAACATCAGTGATGAGAGGGAATCATTAATCAGCTGCCTTCTACGCCCCACATGGGGATTGAGCTACAACCCAGGCATGTGCCCTGACTGGGAATCGAACCGTGACCTTCTGGTTCATAGGTCACTGCTCAACCACTGAGCCACACCGTCTGGGCAAGAATTTCTTCATTTCTCCTGATACTTGAATTGTGTGAGCTGCCTGAAAACCCACTTGGAATTAGGCAGGATCTATATCTCAAGAAGATTAAAAACAGAACAGAATACAAAATCTCTAGGCACACAGAGGACTAGGAACACATGTGCGCAGGCATGTAAATGCTCTGGTGAGTGATTCTGAGGGAACGCTGACTAATGCAGCGCTCTGACTTTATAGTCATAGAATTTACATAAAGCCAGGAATTCCCTAGTCTTTAAGGTGGACTTGGAGCATGGGACAGACCTTGATTGCACACCTACTGTGGATCGGGCAGTGGCGGATGCTGAGTGACTGAGCTGGGTCCTGTGCTCACAGAGCTGTTGGCTTAGAGCGCCTAGTGCAGAGACAGTGACAGTGCAGTCACTGGTGGTGTGATACCCAACAACACCTGGAGGTATGGGAGGAGGACTAGGGGTTTCTGGTCTGGTCGGTGGGGAGGAGCCTTCTCCAAAGATTCTGCATAGTTTGGAGCATTTATATGGAAGTGCTAATGCTGCTGCATCTTGCCTGGATTGCAACACTCCTAACCGGTCTCCTCTCACCCTCCCACTGGACAGTGTTCTCAGTAAATAGGCAGGGTGGTCCTTTGGAAACTAAACTATATCCTGTCACTCTCTGCTTAAAACCCCAAGAAGGCTCTTCACCTCACTTCTCCTGACCACCTGTGTGAAATCTCAGGGACCCGGCCCAATTCCCGCCTTATTTTTCTCCATAGTGCTTGTCATACGATTTATTATCTACCTTAGTCATTGCTTAGGGTTAGTCTCCCCCATTAGAATGTAAGCTTTTTGAGGGCAGAGCTGTCAGTCTTTTGTGTCGTTGCTGTACCTGTAGAACTCGGAATAGTATTAGCGATGGAAGGCGCTCGGCAAACACTTACTGAGTAAATGAATTTCAGAGCCCTGTTCCAGGCACTGGGAACAATGTAACTGTTGCTCTGCTCTGGGAAAAGCAGACCACAAACAAACAATGAGTAGTATAAATTTAGGTAGTGGTCATTGTGTGAAGAGAAATAAGGCAGGGTAAAAGCAAGAGGACGGGGGAGGAGGGGCCTGTTTATTTAATCAGAAAGGCCTCTAGAGCTGAGAACTGAGTAGAAACCTGAATGAAATGAGAATGGAACCAGCAGAAGCTCTGGAAAAGCATCCCACACGGAATGAGCTGAGCTGTGTGAGACCAAAGGAACTGGAAGGGGCTGAAACAGAATAAACGAGTGAGTGCTGAGAGAGGCGGTCAGAGAGTTCGCTGAAGGCCAGACCTTGCAGGGTCTTATACGCCAAGGTAAGGGTTTGGTTTTATGCAAACCGTGTATTACAGACAATGGCTTAACACAACAAGAATGTATCATCTTACCACTTTGGAGGTTAGAAGTCCAAAATGGGTCTTACGAGCCTAACATTTGTCAGAGTGAGAAAATAGAGAAGCCAGGTGACTTATAATAACTATAGCAAGTCATTGGGAGAAGCTTTGAGTCTCACCTTCATGTGCTGCTGCAGTTCCATACTGAAAAAGTTCAGGGGATTCAGATTTGGGGGTTTCTGGACACCCAGATATATCTGTTTGCTCAGTGTGGAGTGAGCTCTGCCATACTTGTGGTGGCCTGGTTAAAGGTGGGTAATCTGTGTGATAAGATGGCCTGGTTAAAGATGGGTAATCTGTGTGATAAGATGGCCTGGTTAAAGATGGGTAATCTGTGTGATAAGATGGCCTGGTTAAAGATGGGTAATCTGTGTGATAAGATGGCCTGGTTAAAGATGGGTAATCTGTGTGATAAGATGGCCTGGTTAAAGATGGGTAATCTGTGTGATAAGATGGCCTGGTTAAAGATGGGTAATCTGTGTGATAAGATGGCCTGGTTAAAGATGGGTAATCTGTGTGATAAGATGGCCTGGTTAAAGATGGGTAATCTGTGTGGTAAAATGGCCTGGTTAAAGATGGGTAATCTGTGTGATAAGATGGCCTGGTTAAAGATGGGTAATCTGTGTGATAAGATGGCCTGGTTGAAGATGGGTAATCTGTGTGATAAGATGGCCTGGTTAAAGATGGGTAATCTGTGTGATAAGATGGCCTGGTTAAAGATGGGTAATCTGTGTGATAAGAGCTCTGTCTTTGTTCCTGAGGGGGAGCCCGCCCTGACATCCGCTGTGTATCAGCTGGGTCTCTGAGGCATCCTCTGATGGGAAGGCTCAGGCTCTCACTCATCGTATTGCAAACTGCCTCCTGTTTAGTGCTGGCTCTAATAAACACATGTGTATTTCCAGGAAAAATGTACGCGTGCCAGTACTGTGATGCTGTGTTTGCCCAGTCCATCGAGCTGTCCCGCCACGTGAGGACCCACACCGGGGACAAGCCCTATGTCTGCAGGGACTGTGGCAAGGGCTTCCGGCAGGCCAATGGCCTCTCCATCCACCTGCACACCTTTCACAGTATGTACTGAGGTTGTGGCTGACGGATACTCGGCACAGACCTGGCCTTGAGAAAACATTAGTCATAACAGAATTGTCACTCTACCACAGCTGGGCCCCAATCAAGGCCTCACACATGTGACAGTCATAACACATTATCACTCTGCCAGAGGTGGGCCCCACTCTACCAGAGCCGGGAATGAAAGCTGGGTTGCTACCTACTTCAGCCATTTCCTGCTTGTGCCACCCGCACTCTCTAAGCCTTGACTTCCCTCCTCTGTAGAGACTAGTACCTACTCACAGGGTTGTTGGGAGGATTAAGTGGGTTAACATATGCAAGGCACTGAGAACGTGCCTGTCACACGGTGTCATTAAACATTACCTATGCAAGCGTTTTTATTATCGTGTCTAAAGTGGAGAACAAGGGAGCACTCCTCCTGTCATTCATACGAAGAGTGATGCTCTGACATACGAATAGTATGTCAGAAATCTCTAGGGAGAAGTAGAAAACAAGCAGTAGAAGAGCAGCATACCCTGGACAGCAGTAAAACAGACTTTAATTGGTAGATGTCAAGTGAGGAATTGAGGGGAATGGTTTGATGCTGCAGAGCTGGTTAATCCAGAAGCTTCCCGGGATGAAGCCAGGATAGTCAGGTGATCGCTGTACTGACTTCTGGTCCTCGGAGCCTGTGACCTTGCATGACCTCTAAAGACAGTCTTGTACCTGGAGCTGTGCACGGCCACCCAAACCTTACTGACCAGCCTGTGTTTTTCCCACCCCTTCCTCTCATGGCCATCCCTCATGGAACCAGACATAGAAGACCCGTATGACTGCAAGAAGTGCAGGATGAGCTTCTCCACGCTGCAGGATCACCGCAAGCACATCCATGAGGTGCACTCCAAGGACTACCACCCCTGCCCCACATGCGGGAAGATCTTCAGCGCCCCCTCCATGCTGGAGCGCCACATGGTGACCCACGTTGGAGGGAAGCCCTTCAGCTGCGGGATCTGCAACAAGGCCTACCAGGTGACCTCAGGCTCCCTGGCGCTCGGCCCTGTACCTTGTCCCTGTCCCTCGGCTTCTCTCCCTGGTCTAGTCTGAGGAGCATAGGGTGTCTCCGGGTGGGACGGCTGGCCTGGCGCTCATGAAGATGCAGCTGGTACTAGTGCAGATTCGCTAAGGTGATCTGGTGGGAGTAGTATGGGGGGCTCGGGGGGCTCTAAGTGCAGCCCAGTTCTCACCCTCTGAACTGAGTGCTGCTTCCCCCAGGGCAGTCACATTCTTTAGACTCTGTTGACCCCGAGTGTGGAGGGACATGAGAATGGCAATAGAGACTATAATGCTGCCTAGAATTATTGTGTTTAGGACTATTATTTTTAACTCCCAGGGAAGGGCTCTGCTTTTTACCTTAGAATTTGGTATGTAATTAAAGGGAAACTCTATAGAGAACAAAAAAGAAACCACTCATCTGGAAACCTAAGCGCACAGAGAAGAGAAGGGTCCTTGCCAGTAGCTGTAAGATTTAGGTTATGGAGAGAAGCCCAGCAGCTCATTGCAGCTCAGCAGAGACTGGGATGTTGACTTTGTACCAGGCTTTGTGCTGGGACATTACGGTACAGAGCTGAGGAAGGCTTGGTCCCTAGGAAACAGTGTGATTCTAGGGAGAGCCCAGCGCTGCTCCGAACCCAGAAAGGAGGGGTCAGTAGGGGCAGACGCCAGGATTTGAATCTTGCTCCTGCTCTTTACTAATCCTGTCACCCTGGGCAAGGCATTTTACCCCTCTGTCTCAGCCTCCGCCTCACGGAAATGATTCTAACTCCTCCCTCGCGGGCTTGTTGTGAGGAGTGAGTGTCCTGCTGAGCCTGCCCCGTGGTGGCCTCTCAGGACGCGCAGGGGCCTCTTCCCACAGCCCTAGCCTCTGTCAGGCCGGCACGCGGTGGCAGGGGAGAGTGGGAGTCCAGACCCACCGCCGACCTGAGAGTGGTGTCCCTCTCGCATGAGGGCTTTATGAGCGCTCTGCTTGCTGGAACATCCTGAAACTGAACGCTTGCCAAATTCCTTGCAGCAATTGTCTGGTCTGTGGTACCACAATCGGACCCACCACCCTGACGTGTTTGCTGCTCAGAACCATCGATCTTCTAAGTTCTCATCACTCCAGTGCGGCTCGTGTGACAAAACCTTTTCCAACTCCATTGAGCACAAGAAGCACATCAAAACAGAGCACGCAGGTGAGCCGTGCCAGAGGCGGGAGCAGAGAGGCTTAGTGACGTGGATCCTGGGTTTACACCGAAATCCAACTCAGGGCTAGAGTAGGGCACAGTGGTAATGCCTCATTCTCCCAGCACACCTGGAGGGTGCCTCCCTGGTGCCCAGGAACAGCGGCTTGAGTGGCAGTAGCTCTTTAACCCAGAGATGGAGGGCGGTGCAAGCTGCTCCCAGCCCGAGCCACACTCAGCCACAGCACAAGGGAAGGGCGGCTCTGGGGGGAAGGCCTGGGGGCAAGTCCTGACCAGCACTGATCAGCTGCATGACCTTGGCAAGTGACTTCCTTTCTGAGCCGGCTTCCTTCTCTTCAGGATGCCTATAATTAATACCGACCTTGCAGGGGAATCTGAGGATAATCACAACAGCCAGCAGTTACGAAGCATTTCCTGTGTGCAAGGCGCTATGCTAAGCACTCCACATGTATTTTGTCCTTTAATCTTCACAACAACCTGCGGCCAGGCCGTCTGGACCCAGCGCTGGCGTCTTCACCACTAGAGTGCATGATATGTCATAGGTGGAAGGTTCTTGGCACTTGGTAGGCGCCTGCTCAGTGTTAGGCGTCACCCCTGCCCCAGCCCTGTCACTGTCCAGCCTTAGGGAGCCATCCTTTTCTTCCCGTGTGCTTCGCAGATATGAAGTTCCATGAATGTGAGCAATGTAAGGAGCTCTTCCCCACGCCCGCTTTGCTTCAAGTTCACATCAAGTGCCAGCACTCAGGTCAGTGCCACCGCACCCCTGCCCGGCGGAGACTCTCCTCTCCACTGTTCACAGCTGTGCAACCCAGGCCAAGTAGCCTAGCTACCTGTGCCTCAGTTTCCTCATCTGTAAAACGGGGACAGGTGTAGTTCCCACCTCATCAGGTAACTGTAAGGATTGAATATGCCAGTAGACAAAATACACATAGGGGCCTGGCATTCCATAGGCATGACCTGTGATTGTCATTGTTACTACTATGTCTCATCAAATCTAAAAGCTAGTTTAAGATGCACCCTTTAAAAAGAATGAACCATTAAGAAAGAAACACAGCTGCTAATTAAACTCTGCTTCCTTGTCACTTAGAACTTACAGATTATTCTAAGTGCTGTTTTGGACTAAATTTGATATAGATTTTTATGCATTCTTTTTTTTTCTTCTTTTTAAATCTTTATTCAGATTATTACAGTTATTCCTGTTTTTCCCCCGCATAGCTCCCCTCTACCCGGTTCCCACCCCAATATGCATTCTTATGAGTATATATAAAAAAGGAAACAAAAGAAATAAATAAGGTCAGACTCCAGCTTCTCAGAGTAGCTTTCAACTCAGATTGTTGACATGCGTGTTACTCCACATGGTGGTAACTGCCCTCCAGAGTGCTGGATGGAGCGCGTAGTGGGGCCTCTGGCTGTGGGCTGTTGAGCCCATAGGAAACTGGTTTATTTTTCATTCCCACCGAGGGTAGATCTGAACACTCACCCTCGCCTCCTCTCTCCTACGCCTCTGGGCTCCGGTCAGTGAGAGACATGCACTGCTCCTGTCTTAGGGACTTTCAGGCCTGGTCACACGCTGTGTGGGTCCTGGTGCCGGGCTTCACCCAGTTTCCATGTTCTTCGTGCAATCGTTGACAGTGACGCCCAACTGCCACCTCGCCCGTGGCGTCGTTAAATGCCATGGACTCCGTGTCAGAGACATTAAAACATGCTTCCTAAAACTGATGACATACGGTGTCGGTAGCACCGTTCCCTGCCGCTGGGTGAATAGTGGGCTTCTGCAGAGGCGGTTTAAGTGTGGTTCACGGGGGCTTCGGGCCCACAGAACCCCGGTCTGCCTGTGAGCATGTTCCTCGCTGCTCCTCCCTCTCCCTGCCCTTGTCTCTCAGCCATTTCACCCACAGCTCTTCCCTGTCTCCCGCCTCCAGGGTCGCAGCCATTCCGGTGCTTGTACTGTGCGGCCACCTTCCGCTTCCCTGGAGCACTGCAGCACCACGTCACCACGGAGCACTTCAAGCAGTCGGAGAGCACCTTCCCCTGCGAGCTCTGTGGGGAGCTCTTCACCTCCCCGGCCCAGCTGGAGGGCCACCTGGAGTCCGAGCACCCAAAGGTGGCGGGCACTGAAGCCCAGGCAGCGGCCTCGCAGGCGGTGCAGGTAACGGCCCTCAGACACGGGTGCTAACATGGGGTCCCTAAGGCTTCTCTCGGGGTCTCTCCCGCACAGCACGCCTCTCTCTCGGGGTCCTCAGAGGGACCTGTAAGCGATCCAGTCATCGCTAAGAGGACCTGTCAGAGCCTCTCTGGACCTCTTGCCAAACAGAACAGAAAGTTCTAGTGTCCTGGTCGCCACATGCGAGATGCCCCGAAGTAGCGGGAGCTAGAACAAGAATTTCCAAAAGCGGAACCACCCAGGCGGCTCTCCCGATTCCTGCACTTCCCGCCTCTGGTGGGGCAGCGTGGGAGGCGGTGAGAGCTGGGGAGCCTCGGAGACGGGGGCTCTTTGTTGGGAGCTCCGTCACCCTGAGAACTCCTCCGCTGGCGCAGGCAGGAAGGAAGGCAGCTCCCCTCTTAGGATGGCGGGGTTTGTGGGGGGCTGGAGAGGGGCTGTGGGCTGACGGCACGGCCATCCGGCCTCCTGGGCATCACGTGTAAGCCGTGCTCCACAGCCTCCAGGGTGCGAGGGCCAGTCAGGGGCAGGCCTCCGCGTGGCTCCCGCCTTACACCAGAGGCTGTGCTCCTGGTGTTCTCTCCTGTTAGGTTCTGGGTAAGACCTTTGGGAAGAGTCCATTGCTGAAAGAAAAGGAACGAACACGCGGCTTGATAACTACTCTCCGGGTGGCTTTTGGTTGGACATCACAGTTGATCTCTCCACTCCCAGCGGCACAGAGCTGGGCTTCCCCACTGCTGCCACTTTTATCTAGTGCCCTGCTCCCCGCTCTGGGCTCGTTCTCAAGAGCCAGGGTACCTGTGCCCCCGTGGGCACTCTGGCCTGAGATAGCAGGGGCATCAGGCTGTCCTGAGCTCCGCACTTCAGGTCATCCTGGAGGTTCCAGCGGGAGCTGGGTTACTTAGCACAGACTGGTCCTTCCTGGACGGGAAGGCCGTCTTTGACAGATGCCGACGTGGAAGGGGTGCAGCCTGTGGAGGCGGGGAGATGCCTGCCCTGCCAGCCTGGTGAGCCAAATGAGGGAGTTGACAGAAGTCACTCTTCATCCACTCACTCTACAGCCCTGGAGCCACAGGAGGCTCTTAGCCTGATCAGGCCCAGAAACACCCCTGTCGGCATGTCATTCCAGTGTCCGTGGTTCTAGCATGACGCTGACACCTTGGTGGCATTCCTTTCACGCGGCTCTTACTCTGCGGTGTAATCCTCGGGACGGGAAGGCCCAGTGTGAGAAGCCGAGCCGGCGCTCACCGGTGTGTAATCAGAGTCCGGGCCTGAGGTGGCATACTGAGCTAAATTACAGCAATTTAGCACACGGTTATTTAAATTGTTTGCCTGCCTCTCCTTTGCATCACTCGTGTGTAAGATTTGCCTCTTCCCATTAGGCACGTGCAATTGCTCTCCTCAGGTCAAAACATAAATATCATCATTACAGCCTGGATGGAAACCATGAAAATTCTGGAGAGCTACCCTGTTTCCCCGAAAATAAGACATTGTCTTATATTAATTTTTTCCTCCCAAAGTTGCGCTAGATCTTATTTTCAGGGGATGTCCTATCTTTCCATGCGCTAGGTCTTATTTTCAGAGGATGTCTTATTCTCGGGGAAACACGGTAGCTGTGGACGCTGCCTAGAGCCTCGTGGTCGTCTCCTTCCAGGTGATCCAGGCCCCGGAGCCGGCCGCCTCGGCAGAGCAGGTGATCACTCTGGAGGAGACCCCGCTGGCCGGGTCCCAGGTGTTCGTGACGTTGCCGGACTCGCAGACGTCTCAGACCAGCTCTGAGCTCGTGGCAGTGACCGTGGAGGACCTGCTGGACGGGACCGTGACCCTGATCTGTGGTGAGGCCAAGTGAGTGGCTGCTCATCGGGGCAGCAGAGAGAACGCTCCACGGCGGGCCCTTTGCCCTCGGTCCCCGGCTGGCCTGCGTGATGAGCATCTTAGCCCAGCACCAACCCAAACGGTCTCCCTTGGAAAACAGACGGCAGAAGCGTCATTCTCATAGAACCACCAACGTCTGAGCAGATCTTTGCCGACCCGCCGCCCTCCCACAGGCTGGCCATGGCCTCTGTCACACTGTCCACCCCGCAGCAGAGCAGAGCTTCTGAGAAAGAGCCGGAAAGCCGTGGGCAGGAGCTGGTGACCAGGTAAGCAGAGGTGCCAGGAGCCGCAGCAGAATGGCAGGTGTGGGGTCGTAGCCCCACTGAGGGGCTGCAGATGCTGTCAGTACCTTCTGGCCGCTTAAGAATGAGAGAAAAGCACCCATGGACCATCCAGGGCCCCCCCGTCTTGAGCACAGTTGGCCCTTCCTCACATCTCTCATCCCCCAGCTGCTGGTCACGGGCAGGAGCAGCCTGTGAACACAGCAAGGCCTCATCTTCATGGGACTCCCATCGGGCAGTGCCGTCAGCCCTTCCGCCAGCGAAGCCTTGGAAGAGTTTCTGGACGTGTTCAGTGGAGGCTGCAAGGCTGTCCCTGCCCCTCCTGCAGCTTCGTGGTGCTCTGTACTGAAGGCTGAGCCGCGGCCTTCCCCGCTGCCCTCATCCCCTTCCCTGTCAGCGCCTGCCTTCTGCCCGACCCGGAGGCCGTGCCCCTCCCTCCGGAGCATGTAATAGAGCCACCAACCCACACCAGGTGGAGCAGTGCCCGTGACCGCCCCGGCTCTGCCTCCTGCCACCGTCCTCCGCGCTGGGTGTTCGGCCTGCTGTCTGACTCTCCAGGCTGCCACCGCTTCTGCAGGTCAGGGATCCTTCGGAGTCTGAATCGCACCAGGCTTTTTATCTTCCGTTTCTAACATGTAATCTGGTAATTAATGGGTGGTGGAGTCCATTATGAAGTGCAATTAGATGGATGTAGGTCCCCGCCATTTGGAGAGAATGACTAGCATTTATCTTCCTTTCCTCCACGCCAGGAGGTTGGCCTGCTAGTGCAGTGTTTACACACAGGCAGGCTCCCTGCCACCTCGGGCTTGCCCCCCTGTGGAGGGCAGTGCCCAATGTGATCACTGCCTTCAAGCTCGAGGAGGTGGAAGACTAGCCCAACCCTTTCCAAGCACATTTCACATCGCCAGGGGCAAGCAGGGATAAAGGGTCGGTGTTGGTCATGGGAGGGACTTTTATTGCCACCGCACACTGCTGGAAAGGCAGAGGAGGGCCCTTAACACTGGCCAGCATGTGCATGGCCAGGGCCTGTGCTGGCAGTGAGCTCCGCCTGGGCCCTGCACCCACACACTCCTGCCTGCAGGGTGTCCCCATTGTGATGTGCAAATTGCTGGAGCTGGGCAGCTCAGGGTTCTTCATTCTGAAGTCAATGACATTTCAAAGGCAAGTCGCCTCAAAAGCCAAACCCTGACCAGAAGATGGTGCTCAAACCTTTGAGACTTAGCCTCCACGTGCAGCCCTCACTGCTGCTGCCAAGCCCGTCTGTCTCCGTAAGCTTTTCAGTCCTGTGAGCTGTCAGCCCAGGAGAGCTCTCGATCTGCAAGTGGCGAAATGACACGGACTCTCCCGCTGACACCAGATAAACCCACTGAGGGAGTGGAGTGGCCTGTGCTTACAGCACCTGCGGCCCAGCCCAGCGATGAGGACACAGTGCCTCAGAGCCACAGGCTGCGGCTGGGAACTGCGTGTCCTCAAAACATCTCCCAGCCAAAACACCAGGAAATGGGGAGGAATTGCTGAGGGCCTGCAGGAGAAAAGGGCTTCTCCTTTTAAACAGTCTTCCGAATAAGCAAGGTGTGTGTTTTAAACCCAGCTTCCGGTCCTTCAGGTACTGAGACCCTTTCTTCATTCCTGACGGACCCGGCTGTGACAGGACATGTGCTTTCTCCTGTCACCAGCCCAGCAGGTCGCCGAGGTGGGAGCTGACACAGACCCAGACTGACTGCTGCTGTCAGACTCGCCCGGCACCGGCGTCGGGCACGGCCTTGTGCTCATTCTGGTCGGGGATGAGGAAGTTTCGTCTCTGCTCCGAGGGGACCTTTGCAACATGCGGCATTGGCAGTGACCTTACACTGTCCCTCTCTGGAGATGCCCAGGTGTGATTTTATTGTAGAAAAACTTTCTAGCTCTAGTTGGCCATTTTCTGCCGAAGAGATCTTCTGAGTTACTGCCTCAGAGGACACTGTTATCGTGGCCTCGTCCCCTCACCGACTTGCTTCATGGCAGTGGTCTTCTCTCTGCCGCGTTGCCATGGTGCTGCCTGTGGCCTCAGGCTGAATGCAGGGCTTATGCGGTGGTCTGGAGGAGTCCGTGGCTCCCAAGCTCCTGAGACAGCTGGTGAGGAGGGGCAGGCAGGCAGGCTAATTCGGTGGGAGTGAGGGGAGTCACTTAGGGACAGGACTTACCGTCCAGGTAATGAGAAGCACGTAGAGGCTCAGGAGCAAGGATGGCCGTAGGGAGATGTCTGAGCAGAGCCTGAGGCCAGAGGGACAGCACAGGGGCAAAGACGGAGGTGTCTCCTCCTTTATTTTATAAAGCCCATCTCTCCCATCTCCCAAGTGTTGTATTTGGAAAAGTTTGAGGCCATGGTCTTCCATGGTCTACAGTGTGTGTCCTGGGTTCCCTGGAGATGGCGGCCCTCTCTGGGGTTGCTGCAGACTCTCCTCCCGCTGACCACGGAACACATCAGCCTCGCCCCCAGGGAGGGCCTGAGAGGGGCTGAGGATTAGTGGGAATCAGGCCCGTTCTCTGCGCCTGGCTAGTGAGAAACACTCCCAAATCGAGGAGATGAGGCAGGCCCTAGGAGTTTCTCTCTCACCTGGGTAATGTGGGCACCACAGGCTGACGGCATATCAGTGAGGTGGGAGGGGTGTGCCTGAGATCAGTGAGTGACCAAGGATGGAGGAAACAGCTCACCTTACCCTGACTGGTTCTTACAGCAGTGTTTCTATGACACGGGCCAGACAGTTGGACAGAGGTGGAGAAAATGCTGGCATACTTTAATCAGGCCTCCCAAAGGAACTCACTGCCCGGTGTGGCCCAGTGCATCCAGGGACCTGGGGAAGTAGACGATAAAGGAGGACTTGGGGTTGAAGGGAGTGTGAAGGCAGGTTGATAACTGTTTTGGTTGCCATGGAAAACCTTGGGGCTGGTAGGACTTGGGCCAAAGGCTCCGAAGCACAGTCAGAACTTGCTACATCATCGACTCAGCCTATAACGCAGAGAAACTGTCTGTGCGTTGGAGATAACGTGTGAGGAGAGTGTATACCGTGGGCAGTTTAATTTTGTGGCCTTCCAAATCACAGAAATTGTTTGTCGTACCTTACCAGGCCAGCCCACCCATGATCAAGACGACTAAGCAGCACGTGGTGCTGTATAAATAGGATTCCGAACCATTGTCCGTGCTCACCTTGCATTGGTCCATATAAATAAAATATGTACCTTGAAAATCGTGATGCTGCGTGAGCTTCAAATGAGTGATGGTGTAGATGATTTCTGTGGTTCAGGGCAGCTGTCACACAGGCTGGAGGGGCCTAGCCTCCTAGGGGCGCTGCACCTTCAGGCCATGCTCACAGGGAGGGGCGGGGGGAGCGCTTGCCTGGCCTGTGGAGTCTCGTTTCCCAGGGAGCCATGTGGTGCAGGCCAGACCTGTGCACATCCCGACTGTGCCACATGCTGACCGTGTGACTGATGAGGCCCCTCCGGAGCTCTGGCCTCATCTGTAAATGGGGGATTGTTACATCTACCCCACAGAATCGTGGGTTAAAAGCCTCGACTTAACTGTGTTGAGTGTTGTAATTGTAGTTGTTATTAATCACGTCCCTCACACAGGCCAGCCGTTCCTGCGGTCTCCAGCACCGAATGTTCCTTCCTTCGCGCTTACGTGTCTCTTCCAGTCCCCGCGCATCCTTAGGGATCCTCACAACACCCACCACTTCTCACGCATCCTAGAATCTCAGCTGCCCCACAGCATAAGATGCTGAGCAGATAACTATAAAGTAAGCAGAAACCTTGTGTGGGGGAAGCTGGAAATGTCATGTTATTGGCAGACACAGACTGTGGTGGTTTCTGCAGTTAGATCCGGTGTGTGAGGCCGGGGGGGGGGGGGGGGGTGTCTAGACTGCAGCCTTGGCTCAGGCCAGCATTGCCCACCTGACCCTGGGAGGGAGAGGGGGGCCTCCTGGAGTAGCCGCCCCAATACACTTGCCCAGAGCCCACCGCGCCTTGAGAAGGAATGCCCTCCGCCTAAGCAGTGTGGGGAGAGGCTGGCGCTGTGGATTTTAGAGCTGTAATCCCGAGAGCGTCCAAGGAGCAGGGTAATTGCAGGAGCCGCTGGCTCCAGCATGAAGGTGACCGCAGGGTGAAGCACGGGAGGACTGGGCAGAGGTAGGAAATGGGCCGGCGGGGCCTGAGTGATCGGTCACCTCAGGCCTGGACTCCGAGCTTCCACCCACCTCTGACTAGGCGATGACCGTGGGCGAGCCGCCCTCACAGTGACCATGAGGAGGAGAGTCAGCGTTTGTGAAATGTCTCCCCGAGTGTAGGTGCCCGTACAGGATGCCTGTCCACATCCCAGGTACATGACAGTACCTGGGCAGGGGAGAGGGTGGGAAGGAGGAGGCCTCACGTCCTGAGGCTGAGGGCCTGGGTGAGCTGCAGAGGCGTGCAAGACCCAGGCCAGCCCCGGGGGCGCCACCGATGAAGGGCCATGTGTGCATGAGGCACTGACCTAGTGTCAGGCAGGGACACACCCAGCCGGGGCCCAGGAAACAGAGCCCTGAGTGTGGATGGCCTCTGGCCTTGCGGCCGGAGCGTCCCCATTCACTGTTCCTCGTACCCGCCGAGAGCGTGTACTCAGAACACGAGTGGTGTGCAAACTAACTGAGGCCAAAAGCCATCACCTTGGTTAGGCAATGACGGAGGACCGAGGCGTCACTGGGACATCAGTACAGGCAGCAAGCTCCTTCCTTTCTGTGCACCTGTGCCTGCTGCCCTGTCCCCCAGTGAGCCAGGCCACAGGTCCCTGTCCAGGAAGATGCTCTCTCCCCAAATACTTGGCCCAGATAGTGCGCTTGGTACTCAGTAGATGTCGCTGCTCTGCTGGGTCCTTGCAGTGCTTCCCTCGCTTACCCTTGGGGCTGGTCAGGGAGAACCCAACTTCTCCATCTCACCCCCTTCCCAGACTCCCCCACCAGCCTGATACCCCCAAGTCACCCGTGGGCCGGTCTGTCCACACTCCCTCCTCTCCGTCCTCCCAGGGAGATTAGTGGAAGGCTAGGAGCAGCTAGCCTGGCTCCTGGCTGCTCTGACCAAACACCACTCCTGTCGGCTCTTCCCGCTCTGGTTCCCCGGCTCAAGCCACAAACAGCTGATCAAACACAGGACAAGGTCGGTCCAGGGAGCCACTGTCACCTCCAGGGGAGGTTTTATGGAGCAGCCATCAGGCGGGTCTGATAAGAATGGGCAGGACGTGGGGAAGGGGCCCATGGGGCCGGCACAGGACCGAGCAGGTCATTCCATTGAAGATAGCAACCTCTGTGCCCACGCAGGGTCCAGCCCGGCGCCAGCCTGTCCAAGGCCAGGGCCAGAGCTGCCTGTGAGCCCGGAACCGAAGGGAAATGAGGAAGGGGTGCCTGAGCCTGGGTGAGCCACAGGCTGGAGGCCCCTGCGGGTTTGGGAGCACAGACCCTCCCTCGCTAAACGGGTAAGAACTGTGCCTTATTCCATCCATGCACACACCCATGTAGGTAGCCTGGCACATCGGAGTCGTAGACCTGAAGTTCTGGAGGCCTGAGCCCCTACCAGTGCCCAGTCCCATGCGTGGGCCCTGCTCCTGGGGCACTGCTGACCTGTGGCCGGGCCAGGGTCACATGTGAGAAACAAGAACCAAAAGCACCCCTGCCGCCCGGAGACCTGCAGTGCCTATACATGCTGGGTTTCTCTTCTCTCTTTTTCATGAGGTGGTGGTGGTGGAGGGGGGTTGGGCATTAATATTTTTTAGAAATATTCTTGCCCAGCCTGCATGGCTCAGTGGTTGAGCATCAACCTATGAGCCAGGAGGTCATGGTTTGAATCCTGGTCAGGGCACATGCCTGGGTTGCAGGCTCAATCCCTAGAATGGGGCGTGCAGGTGACAGCCAATCAATGATTCTCGTCATTGATATGCCTATCTCTCCCTCTCCCTTCTTCTCTGAGATCAATAAAATATGTTTTAAAAAAGAAAAGAAGTGCTCTCATCATTAATAGCTCTGTTATTAAGCGCATGTTGAACACGGACAAAGAGCGAGTGTAACTCTCGTCTCACCAGCACCGTGATGCGGATGCTGTTACTATCCCTCCCCTGCGACAGGTGAGGCCGCCAGCACCCGGGAAGCCACCTGAGCTACATAACCAGTGAGCAGCACCGCTGGGCGGGAGCCCAGGCCACTGGCTCCAGAGCTTGCTGCTGAGCACCACGCTATGTCCAAGCATTTTTTAATCCTTCCCAGTCACTGGGCAGCCTGGCCTGTCACACCTACGTGTTGTCTTAGGACCTACTGAGTCTCCCGATCTGCTCTCTCCTTCTCCCCATCCTGCCTGAGACTGCAGCCTGGCCTAAACTCTGCTTTTGTCAGCTGGGAACGTGTCCTGCAGCACCACACATGCCCTGTGCCTTGCTCCGGGACTGGATTATCCATGGCTTAGACCGCCCCTCAGTCTCACATCCTCAGTCAACACCTGCCGGCTCAGCCGGGCCCTTCCTTCCAGTGGAGAAGGACGCATGGGGCAGCTGAGTGCGAGGTGGTTCCCCGGCCCAGGCAGCTCTGGGAAGCATCTTGGCTGGTCTGACTTCCCCCTCTCTCCCCTGACCCTGGGCTCCTACAGGAAAAACGTTCTCTAGAACAGCCACCGTTTTATGGGCAAATATCGGATCAGAAGACAGTGTCCATTAGTGCAGCCATTCAGAGCCACTCAGAGTTCCGACCCTGCTCAGTCTTGTTAGATGTGTGGCTTTAGGTTTTATCCACCTGTTTTCCATCCTGACCTGGTCTATTGGAGCCAAGAGGCCGCCCTGGGGGCGCAGAGAGAGGAGAGGGAGGACAGCGCGTGGCCAGTGGCCTCTCTTACTCTGTGTACAGGTGACGGTAGTCCCACCGTGTCTCACTCTCAAGTAGCAATCTGCTGTTTCCCCATCACTCTCAGCGGCACTGTTGACCCTCACCGTTCGCTGTTGCCCCTTTCAGGGCGAAGGCCTTCAGACGCCCTCTGTGTCCTCAGCTGGTGAGCTGAGGTGTTGCGGCCCGCTCTCCGCCAGCAGGTGCGGGCTGTCCCCCCGCGCCATGCTGCCCGCCCCCGTGGTCCCGTAATTCAGAGCACTTTCCATCGCTGACTTGCCCGACTGTGGCAGCAGTGGTCTGAGGAGAGGAGCGTGGATTATTATTTTGCAAATGAAAAACCCAGGCTCCAGGAGGCACCATCTCTCAGTGGGTCACGTGAGTCACAGCAGGGCCGCAGTCAGAGCCCACTTCGCACGGAGAGAGCACGAGGTGGGGCTGAGTCAGAGCTGCAGGGCCCCACGTCTGACGACAACCGTGGGCTGCCCGGCGCTCTGGCCCTGGGCAAGCCACCACCCTCGGAGCCTGTCTCCCTTACTGTTTGCCGAGAGGCGGGGTGAGAGCTCTGGCCTGCCTCTGGGTGACCGAGTGAGAGCTATGAAGGTCCTGACCGAAGAGGGCTCGGAGGCTATGTTAGCTTCCCGGGCTTGACCCCAGGAAGGCCAGCTGTGGAGCCTGGACTCTGGGGGCGCAGGGCACTCGGAGGAGAAAGTCTATGCAGGGGTCCCACCCCTGCCCGTTGAGGCTGCCGCCTCAGGACGAAGAGGCAGAGTCAAGGCTTGCATCCTCCAGGTGGGGCCTGGCTGGCTGGGAGACCAAGACCAAAACCCTAGGCTTGTGTGCTCCTCAACCTACCGCTCAGGAGGCCTGAGGAGAGGGTCCCCCGGATACCTCGGTGGCCCCCTCTGATCTGACCAGAAGCTTTTCCACAAGCCTCCCTGGGCTCGGCTGCCAGAGGGAGGGGGAGGCGACAAGGCTAAAAGATTCCCAGCGTGAGATCTTATGGAGTCAGCCAAGCCCACCTCCTCAGAGGCCAAGCTGATCACCTGCAGGCCTTACACGGGCCGCCTCCCCCTCCTCATCTCAGCTGCTGGAGTCCGATGCCAGAGCCTCAGGAGTGAGACGGGGAGGTGGGGGGCTGGGCGGGAGGGCACTGGGTGGGCACTCGGGGAGGTGTCCATCCTTTGGCTCTCTAACTTCTTGACTGCACTCATCAGGATCTAAATGACTTCCTCGTTGGCCCCTCAGCAGCACCATCAGCACTGTGGGGGGTAAGGGGGGGACTTGGGGTGGAGGGCGACCTGTCTGGTTGTGGGTGGATTCCCAGGTTC